CAACGCAAAGGCAATACACAAATCATATTAATGTCAAACAAAATACCCAAGAATGGATGGACACAAGAAAAGGAAAAGTAACGGGGAGTCGATTACCAGCATTGCTAGGGATATATGGACAAGAAAAATTTGCAAATTATTGGAAAATAGTTAAGGAAGGATTAAACGAAAATGATTTTTATAACACACAAAACATTAAAAATTTTGAGCGTGGACATAAATATGAGTTTATGGCACTTCAACAGTTTGCAAAGATGTCAAAATGTTCTCCCGAAATGTGTGGATTTTTCTATCACCCAGATGATTTAAATTATGGAGCAAGTCCAGATAGCCTTGTTTCACATCAAATTATTTTAGAAATAAAAACACGAGCAAAAAATAGAGACAGTCCATTGATCCATTTAAAAAATCAACCTCAATATTACGTACAGGCACAGCTTGAACTACTATGTACAAAATCTAAATACTGCATTTTACAATCTTATCATCCAGAAACAGAGAACTCAAATTACTTTATTATTCAAATTAATTATCTACTGATGTCAGTTATAAAGGAAATCTCAGATAGCATTTTGCATTCAAACCCAATAAAAAAATGGCACCATCAAGAACATTCTTTGCTCACTACTCTTGGAAATAATATTGTGGGAAAAATTCCAGATTTTAAAGAACTAAAACCACTTAGATTGTATATTAAAGAACTTGTTGAAACATCAATTTCTCCATTAAAATTGGTTTAAATATTTAAAAATATTTTATGATAAAAATAAATAAGATAATATTATATGCTTATATATATTCACAAAATATTATTTATTACAAAATTCTTCCTTTGGCTCAATAGGGCGCATTGTAAGGTTTACAACATGACATAATATTTTCCATGTTGAAGAAAGTAAGTCCATAGTTGTTTGCGTTGTTTAGTTTTTCTTGAAGAATTTCATAAGCATCTGCTCCTTTTTTTAATTTAGAAAACAACTGTTGTTTAGTTGGTTTACGTAAAGGAGGTTTCGTAACATAAACAGATCGGTTTGTGGGTTTTTTACGAACAAGACAAGGTTTAGACAAGTCGCTTCTTGTGATGGTCATTTTGGTCAGAGCATTTGTGTATTTTCGTTCCATTATAGCAATTTGGCTTGGTGATGCAGCTATGTCTGGAATATTAGTGCATAACTCTCTAATTTCAGATGAAAAATGTTCACAACAAATATTCCCATTTTTGAAATTCATGTAAAATTCGAATATATTCTTTCTGTAAAGAAACATCTTTAGGAAGCCTGTAAAACTTAATACGTTCTCCGTTAGTAGTTTTGCTTCCAAAGTTATTAAAACATAATGATGCGCTACAAAACCAGTGAACCATTGATTTAAGCAATACAATAAATTGATTTGATATCTTATTATAATATTTAATATCTTAGTTTATAGTAAATAATAGTTACATTATCGCTAACTTATTTTTGTAACTTAAATAAAATGAACCTTTGTTTTGATTTTGATAAATTTTTTGACTCGATGATATTAAGCACTACTATTTTTTTTAGTTGTTTAATCGAGAAAAAACGCATAATCTAGAAACCATATCTGATTGGCTAGAATTTTGTCCCTACAGGCAATATTCGCTAAGTTAAACCGCGTCGTATGAAATTGGCTAATGAGGTGGAGAATTACAATTTGATTATTACTTTTTTCGCGAGCATTCTTAAAAAGAAACCCTTCTAGTTGGTTTGGCAAATGTTATGAACAATCGGATAAAATACTACGATAAAAATTATTTTTAGGGTCTAGTTTTTCTTCTGAAGAAAAGAGATTTGTTTCATATAAATTAAGAAAAAGGGATTCAAAGTTATTAGTCATAGCTATGTTAATAAATAGAGAAGAAAAAAGGATTTCTTTTTAGGAGTGCTAGTTATTTGTTAAGATTTTAGAATTATTATTAAGATAAATAATTTTGTCATATTTTATCGTTACATTTTCACCATTTGAACGCCATTGTTTTACTTCCATAAATAACTTTTTCCGAATAGCAACGGTTTCACGAGAATTCGTTGATGAAAAAACTCGTGTCTTTTAGTCGATGAGATTCTTTCAAGATTCTTACTTTGTCTTTGTATTTCTGCAGGTTAAGTACTATTGTCCTCGGTCGTCCATCTTTCTTTAATCCAGTCCACGGTCAATGTCGATATTTTTCAGTCCAAGTTTTTGCCAGAAGAATGTGTGAACTTTTTCTTCAGAGTCCCCCCATGATTCTTACACATTTTCATCAATTCCATCGATTCGCAGGTTATTTCTTCTTGATCTATCTTCCAGGTTTCGTAGCTTTTCCTTCATAAATTTTCCTATATTAGTATGTTAAAATTTTTTATCTAGTTGTTTATTGTTGTTATGAATTTTTTTGTCAACTAGTTCTTGGTTGTTGATTAGACTATCCTTAATATCTTTCAATTCCTTTGTAAGTTAATTTTGTTTGCATTCACGTTGATGTCGTTAATTATTTTGATATTAACGCCAATAATATCAATAACAGTCTTCTCTTTTTTACGAAATATTTCTTCAGTTTCTTTTTCGAATTCTTTAACGATTACTTTCAACATTTTTTTTATTTCAGAAAGTGTTACTGCTATAGTATTGTATACTTGATAAAATAGAAATAGTTTTTTTTAGATTAAACTTATATTTTTTCAAATGTAAATGTATTTTGTTTTTTTAAATTCTCCTCGTGGTGAAATCGCGTCCGCTCTAGTTAATTGCTATCGTCGAAAAATTATGTCAGTTACAACATTTTTGCTGTGAGCTTCCAATATGTGATCTTTTTTATTAGTTAGATAAATGCATATTTTAGATTCATGCAATTTATGGATATCCCATGGATAATTATGCATGAATGATTTGATTTTGTGATGATATTTATAGTGATGGTAGATGGGATTAAAGGTTCAATATGAGGTCCCAGGTTCGATACTGGCTCGATAAGCGATATTGTTATGGAAAGAGGAAAAAAAAAAAAAGTTCCTAGTTAAATGCTCTTACGTGGTGCTCTGTGATAAGACCCTAAGGACTTCTGAGAGCACCACAAAAAAATTAGTTTAAAAAACAACAAATGGGTTCGTCATTTAAAGTATCTTTCACAACGCAAGTATTGCACAACGTGTTATATAAGGAAATAATTGTTATGTAAACTTTTTCAATAAAAAGTTTTGTATTAAAAAATAAGGTGTATAAATAAACTTGTAACAAAAAGGAGGGAAAGAGGGGATTTTAAATCTGACTATTGTGTTCAGGATCGGCGCGAGAAGGTGTCACGTGGGAGGGGGTGCAATTACAACTTTTGTCGACTAAAAAGACTGACTGTCTAAATTAACCGACTAACTTATTGAAAGGGTCTACATTTGCCGACTAACTAGTCAAAAAGGGTCAAATATGCCGACTATGGGTTAAATTTGCCAACTAAAAATTATTGATGGGAGGTGTCACCCCCCCCCCCCCCCCACACACACACCTATAATATCGCGCCGGCCTTGATTGTGTTGAGGTACTAAAAAATTGTATAAAAGCGCCTTAAAACTGACCTTTTTAAGACCTAAGTCTCTTAACCTAATTGTGCAATTTAGTTTGCTCATAATTTTAATTTAAAAATTTTGTTGGGTACCCGTGATTAATTTTATTGAAAAGTGTACTAAATATTAAAGCAGTTATTCTATTATTAAGTTTGCACATAAATATAAGAATTTGATAAAGGTATAACTGAAAAACATTGAGTATGTGATGATTTTTAAATAGTTAAAATGTGTGAATCGACCTGCACTTGAAATAGTTCTGACAGCGTGTTTTTGTCTACTAAGCAATTTTTAAATTTTACTTACATTAGAGCTGCACCATGCAATATTTGCATAATTTATATAACAATGTATGAGAATATAAGATCTTTAATCACTTTTTGTTTAATAATTGCTTAGCTTTGTATGCAAATATTTTTCGAAGTTTTATCTTCTATCGTTCTTATGTGTTCCCTCTATGTCAAGTTTTTGTCAAGTATCACTCCTAAAAACTTAAATGATGACTCTAATCATTTTATAGATGCCAATATAAAGATCAGGAAGTTTTAATGGAATATTTTTTTTATCGTGAAGTCTATGAAAAAAAGTAAACTTATTTAAATTTAAGGACAAATTTGTTTGCCTTAAACCATTCAGATATATCACGAAAATAACATCGGTACGGCTTGACTTTTGATTCTAGTCATGGATCAAGATGTTAGGCTGCATATAAAACACGCAAGATGGAAAACCTAAATACACATCCAATCAACAATCAAAAACAACACGCAAAATCGAATTGGGCGGAAATACTGGAGAACAGCAGCAGCAGCTGGCTTTGAACAGTAACAATGCTGCCACTGTTTTTAGCCTAAAAATTGTGACGTTGTTTACAGCAGAAAAATTTTTCCACCGCCACTTACCTACTTCACGGTCAGATTTCATTGAAACTGATAAAAATAAAATTTTAAATAATAAAATATTTAAAGAAATGAATTTAAAAAAAAAAGAAAACTATTTTTTTTAAAATGCCACCGTGTTAAAATGTCTAAAAAGAATAGATGAAAAAATATTACCTAGCGATGTAATTATACCTAGTGAACATTTTGGTCCTGATTAAGAAAATCACATTTATTTCGTTCAATTCAAAAAAAAATTTAGGCACCAAGAACCCGACGACATATTTTTTTGGTAATATATGGCACGGTGAGTACCATATATTAACAAAAAATTTTTTTTTTTCAAAGTACATTAAGTTGGGTCTTAAAAGTAGCAAAATTTTATAGAAAGTTTAAAAAAATTATTGTTTCTTACGTGCTTACGTGATTATTTTTCTTTTCCTTTTCCCGTTTGCGTAAATAAACGGACAAGTGGATATTCAACTTAAATCTACTTACCAGGTAGATTGATTGTAACAAAGCAACTTTTGTTAGCAAACAGCAAATCCCAAAATCAATTCGAATGTTTTATTTTCAATTTATCTTCTATTAATTTATAAATATACACAATTAAAAAATTAATCTAGTTTGTACATAATTTAGAAATAAAAAAAATAAAATTGCATAATAAATAATAACAACTATGTAGGTTGGGAAACAAGCCCTGCAGCTCCTTTTCCAAGTCGTTGTCCAACATTGTTTTGCATTGGTTTAAACCCAAGCTCTTCTACAGGAACTCCAAAAGAAGTAAGTTTGGCTTCATATGTGCGAATTAAATCGTTATGCGCCTATAAAATTAGCAAAAAGTTGCTTTTTATCTCAACTATATTTGAGTGGGGGAACATTTTCTTTGTTAAGTCTCAAAAATTGTACTCAACTATCAACATAATACTATATATAATAGTAATACGATCAACTATCAACATAATACTATATATAATAGTAATACGATCAACTATCAACATAATACTATATATAATAGTAATACGATCAAATATCAACATAATACTATATATAATAGTAATACGATCAAATATCAACATAATACTATATATAATAGTAATACGATCAAATATGAAAGAGTGACTGTGATAGGTTTAGAGGTTCCAATTTTAATTCTTATTTAGAACCTCTTTCTAAAAACCATTACAAAATTTTTTGAATTGTTTGCAATAATGTTTTTTTTTTATCTCAGTAAATTTTTAAAGTAACATTTTAATGTGCAAAAAAGCTAAAAGTTTTTAAAATAGAAATGATACATTAATAAATCTGATCTTTAAAAACATTTAAAAAACATCTTCCATACAGTTTTTTTTTTACTGTTTTTCCTAATTTTATTGTTTTCATGTATATTCCAATAGTCAGAAAAGTCCTGTTTTTATTTTTAGGTATAAATGTCAACAAAACAAAAATCCTATAATAACGCTTCAAGTATTACATCTCTTTGATAACAATCCGAATAATAAATTTTCAACTCAATACAGAAACCTCAAACTTGTTCAAAAAACTTAAAATTCTACCTTGTCGGCACTAGTTAGCTTTTAACTCCCTTTAAAAAAATTTACCTTTTTCTATTACAACCTTCTTCACTGAAACTCGATTTATACATTCACATTTAACTAGAAACATCAATAATGGAAAACTAAATGTACCTCCCTATAAAACTTTGAGGTATAGTAAGTATTTAATTACACATCAAGTGCATCAGTGAATGGAATCTTGTGTGCATTGTGAATGAGTTTGAAAAATTAAAACTTAAAAACAATTTATCTTCATTTCTTTATTTAAAACAAAATAAATTTAAACAAATTCTAAAAAAAAATTTATTTCAAAATTTTTATTATTATTAACTTCTTTTAGTTTTCTTATTTTACTTTTTCTTTTTAATATTTTTATAGAAACTTTATTGTTTTTGTCATTATTATTTATTTTTTTCATTACTGTTATTTTTATTATTACTATTATTATTATTATAATTGTAATAAATACAATTATTCTTGCTGTTACTTTTGCTCTATTAATGAATAAAGTTATTATTTTTGTTATTATTTAAATTAATATTATTATTATAATTATTTGGTGTTACTCCTTGGATCAGGTTTCTGCATGAGTGACTCCTTCCTTGTCAACAAAATTATTTATATTTATTTTTAAAGATTTTATTATTTATAATATTATAGATATTCTTCTTCTTCTTCTTCTTCTTCTTCTTCTTCTTCTTCTTCTTCTTCTTCTTCTTCTTCTTCTTCTTCTTCTTCTTCTTCTTCTTCTTCTTCTTCTTCTTCTTCTTCTTCTTCTTCTTCTTCTTCTTCTTCTTCTTCTTCTTCTTCTTATTATTATTATTATTATTATTATTGTTATTAATAATATTATTATTAATATATTATTATAATAAGATGATTGTAAATTTTGAGGAAAATAAATATCTTGTTGTTGTTGTTGTTATTTTTGAAAAAATTCTTTTAAAAAAACCGTTGCATTCTGGTTTACCGATCATTGAACAGTGTTCTTATCAAACTATACAATATAAAAACATCTGAATGAAAACCTAACATCAGCCACATGCAGAAGTTCTAAGCTGTCTTATATTGTCCACCACACTACTACTACTCCACCACATTTGGATTTAATTTGATAGAAGAGTTTACGAAACTAGAGAAGTACCTTTATGATACAAAAGTAATAAAACTTGAAAAAGATCATTATATTATTTTCCTGTAATAGATATAATGATTATATTGTTCTGCAACCAGCGGAGGATGCTAATCCCAAGAAGCAATTCCTATTATGAAAAATTCTACATCATTTTTGCAAGCTTTAGTTGCATATTTTACAAATATAAATATTGGTATTTATTTCATTCAAAGTTGAAATTAAAAAAAATAAACCTACAATTGGTAAACGACTGTTAAGTGGTTAGTTAAAATTAATAGTTAAAATAGTTTACTGCATTGTAACTAGATCTTATTTAGAAAAGTGTTTAAAATGATATATATTTTAATTGCAGTACCAGCAGCATTTAGAGGTGAAATAGGAAAATCAATTCAAGTTGATTTTTAACTAATAACAAATAAGACTTAAAGCCAATCAGGGGATTAGTTGCACTATTAGTTGCAAATTAGTTTTTAGCAAGTGCCAAAAAAATTTTGCTTTATGCTTGTTTAATTTTTCAAAATGGTTTGCAGGATTCTTCAACAGCTTATATAAGATATAAAATATGCAGCAGCATAACCTGCAATTCTAATATTTCAGATAATCAGTTGACATCAATAATAACTTTAGACTTTCCTTATCATAGCTAAGGATTAAAAAGAGCTGTTAAAGATGTTACTAGTGTTTCTGGAAAGATCTACATACATTATAGAAGACACAGAATGTTAATAATCATGCAAAAATCAAAAGAAATAAACCCAACTCTGAAAAAAGAAACAAGACTTTTTATAAATAAGTTTTGCATATTACAATAAAAAATTACATAAAAATTGAATAGTTTGTCTTATATCTTAAAAATGAATTTAGAAACCATTAAATCTGACTAGATCAATATGAAGTTTAGTTAAGAAAGTAGTCAAGTTGTTTAAAGAATCTAACATTTACAAATTAAATAACAAATAAGTTTGTTATCCAAGTGTAAAACTATATGTATGCATATAATATATACATTGTAACAGCAATAATTGTATAAAAATCTATACTCAAAAATACAAAAGTTAACCTTGCTAACTCTTGCTAGTTCATACTGAAGATCTTTAATAGCATTGTTCTTTGAATCAAGTACATCCTGATAAAATAATTAACACAATTTTAATACTAAGTAAATAATACGCAAAATTTTTCTATAAAATCATTAATTTCTGAATATTTTAAAACGATAGTTAAATATTAAAAAAAGAGTTTATTTATATACTATTCTCAAAATTACCTCTAGTTTTCGTGTGACAATGGAGAGAGCAGTTGGATCCAAATTTGAAGCTGATAGCACTTCATTTAACTGCGCCTCCTAGTAAGTCATATAATTTGTTGCGAAAATAAATATTTCTATTTAATATTTAACTACTGATAATTGGCAGAACTAAAAGTCATTAAAAAATACTAAAACTCACTAAAAAATACTTAAAATTGTCAAATGAAAAATTTACTTGGTGTTATACTATATAATTCAAAATAAAACAAATACTTTCTACATTGTTCAACATAAAACAAATACTTGTTATATTGTTAAATTATTCAAAATGGAATGGATACTTGTCATGTTACATCAACCAATCATATAATGAAATACTAATGCTTAAAATAAACAATTGGCGTGAGGAGTGAATTGGGCTACTTAAGTTTTAAAATATCTCAGGAGTTTTTTTTATGGAAACAACTTTTTTTTATGGAAACAACATATTTTAGTTAATTCAATGTATTTTAACTTAATGTAACTTTTCATTCATTAAATCTTATCTCTTGCAAAAATTCAACCAACCTACTTGCTCTTTGTAAAATTGAATTCAGCTATTTCATCATTACATCTCAGTATTAATAGCTATTATTCTTTAATTCACAAAAACTTCAATAGCCAAATGCATGGCCTAGGTATATACTTTAGTATCAATTCACCTATTTTCCTTTGACTATTTTTTTATGTGCTTTTGCTTAGCACCTCTCCACTCAATCACCTTTTTTTTTTGTTTTTTTATCATTCCTGTTAATTTTCTATTTTTATAATTTTCTTTTTAAGACTACATTCTTTTTGATGTTGCTACAGATTGACTATTTCTCTTTATCTCTCAGCCACTATTATTTGATGTTATTGGTAATTTTACTGTTTATCACACTGAATGGTTTGGCTCCAGTACTGACTCTTCTCTCTCTAAAGCTTATACTTTTATTTTTTTCAATCACAACTCATATTTTCCAGACAACTTTAAACAAGTACCTTCGCTCCTTGATGTGTCTTGTCACTAACCTTAGCTTGTGTCTAGTTTCTCTCTGTTCTCTAGTCTTTTAAGTGATTCAGGTCATGCTATAATCTCACTAATTCTTTTATCTTAGTTATATCAAAATTACCCTATCATTACAATTCTTATCTAGTAATTGGAATTTCTTTAGTGACTTTTTATTTGATGGTCTTTGGGTTAATGTCTTTCATCTCTCTGCGGAAAAATGTGCCTCTTTTATATTGTCATGGATTCAGGCAAGGATAATGGCTTTTATTCATTATTGTTGGTTTCAGGTTAAGCCTTATTTTATCCAACGGTGTTCTTATTCTTGCACAGCTGCAATTTCTAATTGTAATCATTTATTTCAATCTTACCTTTAAATAAATCTTACCTCTAAATAGGTTCTATTTGCTGATGATACAACAAAATTGTCCTCCAAAACATAAGCAACCAAATCTAAAAATTCTATTTTGAATTGGAGAAATAAAAGGTCTTTTTGCTGCACTGAATCTCATAAGTCCTAAAAAATGTAACCACTTACAAACTTTATTTTTTGAACATTGAAAGTTTCAGATTTAGAATGTTATCATTAGCAATGATTCTTTTTTTTTTTTTATGTTTTATAATTCACCTCCCCAAGGCCAAGAAGACCACTAAGACGAGAAGGCTACTTAATTATGGCTATAAACCTCTCTCAACTCTTTAACTCCAAACATGAATCTTAACAAACAAGGCCGCTGTGCGGAGAAACAAGTTGAACACAGTACTACCAGGGATATGGTGGGGATCAAACTCAGAACCACTTGCTTATGAAGCGAGCACTCTACCACTACAACATATAAGATTTTTCAACGTGATGGATAATTTTTCTGTCAGTGAAATGACATGTTTTGCATGGTTTTCCTTTTTATGTTCCCTTTTTAAAGAACTACCACAAAAAAGATCATTTAACTTTTTTATTAGTGTTTTTTTAAATTACGGTCGCTATTAGTCCAGCTTTTTTTTTTTTTTGAAGTGGTCTCTTAATGTCCCGTGTTTTTAAAAAACATCGTGCTTTTATACTAATAAATTAAAAATAGTTTTTTTTCACTATTTTCAACACTATTAAACACTAGAAAATGTTGTTAATCAAGTTTAGGAATATATAATTATCCTTTATAAACACAGAATTTTAAAAATATACTCACCAATATTCACTTTTTGTTTGATAATTGGCAAAGTATGGAGCTGCGCAATGTCCTACATCACATTCTACACATTCATATCTTGAATCATTTCGAATTTTGTGTTTGTAACATACCACACATCTTCTCTGAGCATTAACCTTTCATTACCATTTTCATTAATCATTTATCAAATATATCTTTTCATTAATTATTCATCAAATATATAATTTTCTATCTCTTCAAGAGAAAATATTCGCTTTTGCAATAATGATTTTTGCTCTGAAAAATCTTATCGGCCATATTTAAAGTAACATGTTTAAAAACATAAACTTCCTTATCGACCATATTTAAAATTAAAGTAACACGTTTAAAAACATAAACTTCTTCATCAGCCATTTTTAAAATTAAAGTAACACAATTAAAAACATAAACTTCCTTATCGGCCATATTTAAAATTAAAGTAAAACGTTTAAAAACATAAACTTCCTTATGGGCCATATTTAAAGTAACACGTTTAAAAGTGAATTATTGAAAAATAAGCTCTTTAATTATGTAGTAATAAATTTTGTGATGATTAGATGTATAATTACTGATGAAGAAGAAAATACATAAAACCGTATTATTTCTGCATGGACATTTGGAAACCACTTTCAGTTTGCATAATATTACAGCATGGACATTTAGAAACCACTTTAAATTTGCATAATAATACAGCATGGACTGTTGAAGGGTTAATAAATACATTTTTACATCAAATTACATGTTAAGCAACATATTTATTCATCTTCAGGTAGTTGTATTATGTTCAAATATTTTCCTTATATGTAAAATTAATAATTTGATTCTGTTTAAATTGTATTTTTTATTTGTTTGCTTATGTTTTGGGGGACAGTGTATATACTGCTGTATTGACAAAATCATTTTTTGATTATATAGAACAGACAGCTGATTTTGAATCTTGAATTTAGATATTTAATGTTTTATAAAACAGATTCACTTAATAATCTAAAATGAAGAAATATAAATAAAGAAATGTATATACCTTTGAATAAAAATAAACTTTCTTGCAACATACAAAGTAAATGTCAATTAAATTGAGGCTTATAAAATCATAGCACTTCATACATTTCTGATTTAAATAAAAAAGCTGCTACCTTACCAAACTAACTCATATTTTATTACTTCACAAATTTTTATAAAAAAGTCCAACAATAACAAAAAAACATTTTAGAAACTTGTAATGATAAATTTCAAAGATCTATGTAAGGTAAACCACCCAGTGGTCGATAACCCCTCCAGTTGTTGATGTTTTGCTGAGCTAACACTAACTGAAGTAAAGTGCCAAAATAGTGTCTGTAATGATAACCTTTCTTATATATATATGGAAGAAGTTTGACTATTGTAAACATAAAAATAAATATATACAATGATTTGGAGCAAAAAAAGTTCCATAAATACCCTTAACTCTTAGGAATAATTTTCATAACTGTTTGTAGATAACCACAAGTATCTACAAACATAACTGTTTGTAGATCACCGCATATAACGTATGACAAATGTAATTTAACTAAAATTTTTTCTTTTTCATGCTGACATGGAAATAAATGAGATGAATGTACAAAACTTTAAAATCAAAATACTGAAAAAGTAGTGGGGTAAAAGGGGTGTCGATTATGTTTTCCAGTATTCGACAAAATAAAAATTAACCATCATTACTTTATCTTATAACAGGGGTTCTGAGCCACAATCCAGTATTTTATGTTATTTGTACCAGTGATCTATATTTTAATGTAACATTTTTATAAGTTATTGAATTTTATTCCAGTCTTTGACAACACTGCATTCATTGACTAAAAAAAAAATGTTATAATTTGCAAGGGTTTTTATTTTTATTATATAATTATATAATTATATAATAAAATTATTTATATAATTACTTTTAAAATTGCCCTCTTGAATGTTATGATTGCTACACAACACTTCCCTTTGAAGAACTTTACAAAACAATTAAACAGTTAATGTTTTGTAAAGTTCTATTTGGACAACCATTAAATATTCCAACGCAAATTTGGAATTAATCTCCAATTCCTTTGGAAATCAATTCCAAACCTTGTAGTTCTCAAATAAATATCTAAATGTTTTTATTGTGATTAAATGTGTTTATATTTTTCTAAATAAAAAAAAAAATTAACTAAAAGTAAAATAAAGCTAAAATAAAGCTAGTAAAATAAAGTTGTCTCCTAAAATAAGCAGCTCAAAAATGGCATTAAGATACCAATATAATAAAGAAATATAAATACCAATATAATGAGGAGCATATTGGCAATGCAGTTCAAGATGTTAAGCGGTAAATTTGGCATTTTTAATGTTTTATTAGTTAAATAATTTTATAATCAGTTTTTATTGTATGCAAATAGATCCTATTGAGAAGCTCAATGCTAGGTCTCAAACCTTATCTGATAAATATTGCACTAATCTTATAGAATCACTGGGAGCAGGTGCAACTATAAAGTTGTAAGTTATTTTTACTCATTAAACTTTCAAACTACTAAACTAAACTTTTCTTTTTTTTAAAAAAAAATCAATATTCATACAAACATTCGATTCTTTTATATTTGTACAGATGTTCATTTACATGTTCTTTTACAGATGTTCATTTGAATGCAATGATTCGGTCATTGAATATTTTCATTTAGAATCATTGTGTTTTTTTAAAAAAAAATTTAATTATTTAAGAAATCCAAATAGAGTAGAGGAAAGAACCCATGTAGAAGAATGAATCCATATAGAAGGTAATATTTATATTTCCTTTAAATTATATTGAAGCAGCATAGCTAACTAGATTTTGTAAATGTTTGCCCTGAGGGTCCATTTTAATATTGTTTTCTTGCATTTTCAGTTTCTTTTTTTTTTAGGCGCGATCAAGGAAACTTCCTTTCTTAACTTCATTCAGATGGTTTCCCTCGCCAAAGTTAGTGAATTTTTAAAGTTGCTCAAGAATTCCATGCAGCATCTTTCTTGACAACACCTTAAATAGTTTTCATGTTAGGAAATATCCAACACGAAAAGTAGGGTTGACTACTGCAGAAAAGAAGAAAAAATACACCTACATCTGGTGTTAATTGAAAGATTAGCTGTGATACTAAAAAAATCACAAAAATAAAGCAGAAAAATAATTTAAAATAAGTTGATATAAAAGTTCCAGGTTGTTTATCGAACAAGTTGATGGGTTGATATAAAGGTTGCTGGTAGTTTATTGAACTAGTTGATAAGTTGATGTAAAAGTTCTAGGTAGTTGATTTTTTTCATTATTTTTTGTCATTCTGTTAATAAAAATATTAAATGTGAAAGAACTAGAATTCTGGAATTATAAAATTAAAAAAATTTTAAAAATACTATAAAATCTTTATAAAATTTTTAAATCCATAGATTAGCAACATTTAAATAAAAAAATAACCTTTTTTTCCAAATTATCAGACAATGCTGACAACTTCTTCTCCAATAACAAGTTTTTGAAATTTCCTTTTTGCTGAACATCATGAATAGCTTTAACAAATTTGGTGTAAAGCTCATCTCGCTCTTCTTGAATTTTTTCAAATCGCTGTGTCAATACTTCATGCTCCCATTGTAATTTCTTAAGTTCTGCTTCTCTGACTCGAAGACGTGCTTTTGTACACTTTTATACAGAAAAATCATTTAATTAATATCTTTTGTACACTTTTATAAAAAAAAATCATTTAATTAATATCTTTTGTACACTTTCATACTGAAAAATTATTTAATTTTGTACACTTTTATACAGAAAAATCATATAATTAACATTTTTTGTACACTTATATTGTAAAATATTAATTAAATTATTTTTCATACAGAAAAATCATTTAATTAATAACTTATAATTATTAAAATCCAAACCAAATCAAACCAAAATTGTCCATTTTAGAAGTTTTTTTAATACTTTTGGAGAAATTTAACAACATCAAATGTTGTTAACCCACTCCCCTATTTTTTTTTTTAATTATCTGCTTTAGGCCAAAAATTAGTTTTTTGCTAGAACTGACAGTTTAGCTGAAAAATTCTATTGAGCATGCAATAAAATTTTTTTTATTATTCTATAATACATTTTTTACTATAATTAACAGACACAAACTGCGAGCAAATTTAGCGTTCGTTAAATATAAACAATGAAAACATTCTAATAGGGTGTTTATATTGACCACCGTCTTCCTCAAAATACAAATGATCTGTCAACCAATACTTCAATTAGAAGAAACATTAGCAAGGCAAAGTTACTTGTTGACACTAAAAAATTCACCTCAACACTCATCTGCGATAACTTTAACTTTCCAAATGTGAAATGGTTCAATGATGGTACTGTATGTGTAACTGGCCCTGAAAATAATCCATAGATATGCTCAACGACAGTTCCCTTACTCAACTTGTTGACTTTCCCACATTTATACAAGCAAATGGACAATATAAAACCACTCTTGACTATGTGATATGTGACGATGTAAATCGAATAAAAAATCTATAATCAGACTTGCCACTTGGAACAACTAAACAAAATAAGTCAATAAAGCTGCATTCATCGCAAATAAATTTTTTGGACTGTTAAAAAATACATTTATATCACAAGATCCAGCACTATGGAAAAAACTCTATGCAACATATGTCAGACCACATTTGGAATATGCAGTATGCACTTGGTCACCATCAACAAAAAAGGACCAAAAACCACTTGAAAAAAGTTCAGCGACAAGCCACCAAGATTGGACACGCAATGAGGCAACATAGCTATGAAGAAAGGCTAATCAAACTCAACCTAACTAGTCTAACTTTGCATTGACAAAGGGGCGACCTCATTCAACAATTTAAAATATTAAAAGTAATCAACAAAGTGAAATGGTGTGTACTAACAATCACAAGAGAGCCAAGAGCGGGTCGTAGAGGACAACTGAACAAAGAATTAGTCCGTAACAGCGCACTGCGAAGCAATTTCTTCACTAACAGAATTGTGAACTGTTGGAACTCACTATCCGACAATACAGAGAATGCAGAAACAGTCAACGCATTCGAGAATTGGCTGGACAACCTCCAGCAAAGTTGCTACAGTGGCTTATCCTCGGATGGATTACTTCGTGTGAGCCGATAAGCTTGCATTGCAACTTATTATAACTAACTAACTATTATGATTTTATATACATATTAGTTAAGAAAGTATTTGTTAATATCTGCAATACCCATTCTAGGGAATCTACCCTAATCCCTCTAGCTCTTTTGAATTTAAATGTTTGAAATAAAGAGAATGTAAAGATAGCTAATTCATGTCATCAACCAACTTTTCAAGCAAAAAAAACTGAAGACAACCCTCAAATTAACATTTTTTTGTCTTGTCAACATGTTTTTCAAAAAAAATTAAATATCATTCCTTATGAGTTCTGAAAATGGTTGCTTTTTATGTACACATTTTTAAACATATTTTAGTTTTGTATTATCTCTCTTTTATCTACATAAACATTTTATTATTTATACAATCTCTTGAATTATATAATAATATAATTATCATTAAAATAAAATGTTTTAGATTAGAAATAACAAAATATCTTAACAAAAAAAATCTAAAGCTTTTTTTAAACATACAAAAAATCAATAATTTGCATATAAAAATGTAGCAACACTTGCAGAAGTCATTATTGATAAATATGTTTAATGTAAGCTAATGCATATTGTAAGATAATTAAAGAGTATAAAAATACTTTTAATTTGAAAATTTTTCTTTATTTCTAAAAAATAATCATACATTACTGGTGATGGTACCCATTAATTTATACACAAATATTATTGTCATTTATTTGCTTAAAGTTGACCATGCCTTCAGCAATTCTTGTATCTTGTAAATTTTAGGTATTTAATTGCTTGAAAAGACTTGTAATTGCAGTATTTCTTCACTTTCCTTACCAAAAATTCAGCAACTTTGTACTTTTTAGCTCTTTTTCTGTTAGATAAGCCCGGATTTTTTTTTAAAAGAACAACAAGTCTTTTTTATCATTGAATTCTAATAGCTTTTAAAACTTGTTTATAGCTCCATGATGGATTTTCTTCATGAATTTGCAAAATTAATTTCTGATTTTCACATTGCTTCGATGACATATTAATAAAATATAATTTGAATTTCTTTTTTTTAATATTTTTTGACAACTACTATCATTACTTGATTAAAATATTATTTTTTTAAAAGTGTTAGTAATTTATTTTGAAAGTGGTTTCCATTCTTATTATTTTTGATCTTGTGTTTTACAGTTAATATTGCTCAAATCCAATGCAACTTACAATAAATAATTAATTTACTAATTTAATTAGTGAATTGATAATTATATTTTATTGTTGAAACAAATTACATGACTTAATATATAGATAAAATAAATTTTTGGCAATCAATAGTTGATATCGTATAAAAGTATTGTTTGAAAGTATCATATAATAAGCACCACATGATGTGGCGCTTATATGCAATAAGCACTACATAACATAATACAAAGAAAATAATTTATTAGTATAATGTTTTTATGTATAATTAATTTTTTTTTATATAAAGCGCACTAAAAAAGTTATTAAGAAATCATAAAACTTTTTGTTACATTTTTAACAACTGTAATTTTAACTTTAAAATTAACTGTAAATATGTTTGCATTAATAACATTTTGTCTATTTTGTTTTTATGACATACATATTTTAAGGTAATCCAATGTTTTTTGTGTGTGTGTGTAGTGTTTTTCTAATTAGTATCGTTCTGATATGTTTCTAAAAAAACATTAGAAATTTAAAATAAATGCTTAAAATACATTTTGAAATGTTTTTCATTAACTATTTAACAGTAAAAATTCGGTCAATTTAAAATAGTATTGAGAAATATTTTAGTTAAAAAAATATAACAGTATAATATAAAAAAATAAAATATCATCTAATAGACATATTTGCACTGTTTTTATAGCTGTATTTTAAAATAAGATAAAATATCAAATGAGAAATAAAAAATATGTAATGTTTAACTCACAGCACCAGAGTCAACAACATAACAAAAATACAGATAAATATTTTTACATATCTTTAAAAAAATTTACTATCAATTTTATGTTACAAAATATCAACCTACCATTAAAGTAGCTTTATCTTTTTCATAATTGGATAACTAGTTTTAATAAAGGTTATTTTTTAAAAATTTAGTGACTTAACATTTTGAAAAAAAAAAAAAACAGAAAAAAAAAAACAGTTAATAAAAATTAAAAATGAACCTGTTTATTTAATTCTGAAACATCAGCTTTAGCTTTTTGCAAAGGTTCAATGAGAGAACGATTCTCTGCAATAACCTCATTTAAATGTTTTTCTGATCTTTCTTCTTTTCTTCGCATATCCTCAACTTGTTCCTATGTCAAAACAAATTGTTTTATTTAATTTTAAAATGTATTACTAAAGATTACCGTATATACTTTGTATATCAACACTAAATATTGGTTTACTTTATGTCCATTTATGTTTTCAGAATTTTTAAAACATCTAATACAACTTCTTTTTTTTAGAACCTTATCCATACTTTTTACTGTAACCATACTTCATGTTTTTTACTATAAAAATGCTTTAGAAATTTTTATTATAAACATACTTTAGCCATATTATTTATTGTAACTTTAGACACAGCTACTCTTTGTTGCTTTAACTATGTTTAAAAAAAAAGGTCTTAGAAAAATAAAGGAAATTATAAAAAATTCTCAGTAAGATCTGTTTCTCTTGTTCTTCAATATCAGGCTATGTTCTACAAGACTTCAGTCTAAAATCAGACTTTGTTCTTCAAGGCTTGTTTTCTGAGTAAAAGGGTTGAAAGGATTGTAACAACAACTTAGAATTAGCTGCCTCTCATCTGTAATAGATCCTTTGCTTTGGTAAAGTGAATACAGTAAAAAAATATATTAACAAAAAAAAAAAAAGTTAACAAATTAATTTTTGGATACTACTATATCACAGAACCAGTTTATATTTATATGTCTATAACACTTAAAAGAAAACAAAAACAATTATATAATATGACATTAATAATCAATTCTAGGCTGAATTATGCTGCTTTAGTCAATATGTACATCAATATGTTAGTAGATGTAAGTGTTGAAACAATGGTAACATTAATAATTATTCACCTCCCAAGGCCCAAGGGGGCCACTACAGTCGAGGAGGCTACTCATTTTTTTTTGTTTTGTTTTTTGTTGTAAATCGTGGTACAACCCTCTCTCAACTCTTTAACTCTGAAACACGAACCTTGACAAGCAAGACCGCTGCGCGGAGAAATTAAGTTGAGCGCGGTACTTCCAGGGACGTGGTGAGTCGAACTCTTGCTTACAAAGCGAGCGCTCTTACCACTACACCACTACCGCATATAATACCGCATATAAAACCGGTTACTTTAAAAGATGCCCTAGAAACTTAAATAAACCACACTTTTACCATCTGCCTTTTTTAGAACAAAAGCTCAACCTGCAATTTCTAAAAACATCATGCAGCAAAATTTCTAACTGAAAACATTGTTACATGCCATGTTAAACTAATCATAGAACAAATTCATGACAAAATCTTGGAGTATTTTTCAATTTACATAAAAGCTGAATATTTTATTTCAAGCAAGCAAAAAAATTAACCATTTTTTACCTCAGGGGAACGAAAAAAATATAAGTTAAACCTTGAGTGAATTGATGAGAGCAAGATTATTTAGTGTTATATCGTTGTAATAATTTTTAATGTCGCTAAATGCTTTTTCATGATTTTTCATTAGTGTATTTATTTGTGTATTTTTACGTTCTTCAACTTCATGCAACTCAGTTTTTCGACGCAATTCTAGATCATCTCTAAGTGAAATCATCTTTTTTTCATACTTCAATTCAATTTCTATAAGAAAAAAAAAGTTTTTATTAGTTATCAAATTTAAATTATACATAACATAAACAATTTAAGATTTAACCTTTAGCTTTTCTTTCATAGTCATTTCTTAATACTGTTACATCTTTATCTTTAGCCTAATAAATAAGATATAAAAAAAAATGAAGTAAAAATGTTAAATAATAATAATAAAAAAAAAGAACTTAAACTTATTATAACTATATAGAAAAATAAACAATCAGCTAAATAAAACCAAATACTTATTTTCACTTCAACAACTTAGTTTATCTTGAGATTTTTTAAAGATTTCTTTCAAATCTGATAAACTAACACTCTACTAATTATTTTTTTTAAAACTCAGCCAACATTCTACTAATTATTTTTTAAGTAAATCATTATGTAATCATGAATAATTCACAAATTCCAAAAACAATAAATGTTAAACACAAAAATTATAACACTGACTAAATAATGCTATATATATATATATATATATATATATATATATATATATATATATATATATATATAACCCTTGGTATTAGGGTCGGCTTTTTAACTGCCGACCTGAAAGTGTTTGAGGTCGGCATAAATTGCCAACCTCATTTCTATGTTTTATGGTCAGACCTTTGTATCAAATAATTTTTGATGCAAACCTCAAAAAGATTGAAGTCGGCATCAGGTCTCATTTTTCCTAATTCCGAGGGTTATATATATATATATATTTACACTGTGTTTCATCAACAAAGACTCATCAGAAATGCATTATAGCTTTTTTTTTTATTTTTTTTATTTTTTAACATCTTCGCTTCCAACAAGGCTGCAAGCAACCACTAATTAGTGTTGGAAGTTACTGGAAGAGAAAAGATGAAGATTGTAGAGCAAGATAACAATTGACAGACAACTTAAAAGATTGCAAATTATATGAATCAGGAAAGCAAGATGAAGGAAGCGAATTCCAAAGAACTGATGTTCGAGAAAAAAAACTAGACGAATAAGAGTTTTTGGAGCACTTAGGAACAGTAACAGAAAAAGGATGAGACTTAGTTATATGACGAGTAACACGATAATGAATATTTGTAGATGGCACAAGAGACGCTAGCTCTTTAGAGCAGTGCCCATTATAGTATTTGTAGAAAAAAGAAAGAGAAGCAACATTACAACGATGTGACAGAGGTTGAAGGTTGGCTGCAAGAGTAGGTCAAACTATGTTTACAATGCATTTTTGCAACTTGTCTAAAAGAGAAAGGGCATCATTGGAAGATCCACCACAGATATGGCAACAGTATTCCATACAAGGCCGGATTTGAGATTTATAGAGATAAAGAATAGAATCCAGAGTAAGAAAGTGACGAGCTCGATAAAAAGAAGCGACTTTAGCAGATGCTAATTTTGCAACAGATTTGATGTAAGGTTTCCAAGAAAGATCAGAAGTAAGAGTTAATCCTAGAAGATGAAGGGTAGGAGACTCATCAAATACATTACCGTTCATAAATATAGGAAGGTCTAAATTATTGCGATAACGATCAGCTGAAAAAAAATTGAGTTTTATCTGAATTAAAGGTCACTAGCCACTGTGAGCCCCATGCTGTAGCAGAAGTGAGATCCTTTTCAAGCTCAGAAGGCCCCTGCAAGCAATCAGAGGGAGTTGGCTTCTTATCGTGACAAGAATAAATGGTAGTATCATCAGCGAACAATGCCACCTTAGATGTGAGAAAATCTGGAAGATCGTTAATGTAAATTAAAAAGAGTATAGGGCCAAGGATTGAACCTTGAGGAACCCCTGAGGTTACAGAATAAGAAGAAGAGTGCTGTCCATCGAGGACAACTTTTATACTACGATTGGAAAGGAAGGATTCGATAATCTTAAAGATGTTTCCAGATACACCGTAAGAAGAAAGCTTATGGAGAAGACCAGCATGCCAAACTTTATCAAACGCCTTAGAAATGTAAAGAGCGATAGCCTTAACCTCTCCACCTTTATCTAATGCGCGATAAAACCTATCGGTTATTACTGTTAGAAAGTCAGTCGTAGAACAAGAAGATCGAAATCCATATTGATGATCAGAAAGTAGGTTATGAGATTCGAGATGAGAGATTAAGCGTTTTTTAATTAAAGATTCAAAAACCTTGCTTATGATAGGAAGAAGACTAATGAGATGGTAGTTAGACGAATCAGATCGCTCTCCAAAATTTTTAAAAATAGGGATAACAGATGCTGCTTTCCAGCAGGCTGGAAAACAAGACTCTGATAAGAACTTGTTAAATAGTTTTGAAAGAAAAGACGACAGCTCCTGAGAACACTTCTGCAAGACTATAACAGGTATGTTGTCCGGGCCGCAAGCTGTAGAAGAGTCTAAGCAGGAAATCACTTTAGATACAGAAGCTGGAGTGATACGGATGTCGAGCAGTGGATCAACCTGTTTGATAGCTATATCAGGTAGAACGCAACTAGTGGAATCAAGAGATGATATTGATGAAAAGTCCTTTGCAAACAATTCAGCTTTGTCTTTAGGTGAGGTGACAAAGTCTAAACCGTACAAAAGAGGTGGAATTACAGACTTGCCCTTATTATTGATACTATTAAAGATTCTCCAGAAGTCACGAGAGCCTAATTTTTGTGATGAAATACGAGATTTCATTATCTGAGAATAGTGGGCTTTAGCGTTAGACAAAACCTTTTTACAATGGTTCCTAGCAGTAATAAACAGACGTCTGTTTTCTGGAGAATTGTTTTGCTGATAGATATGGAAGTAATGGTTTAGATTAGCAATTGCAGCAGCACAATGTGAGGAAAACCATGGAGAAGAGTGAGGCTTGACCTGGAATCGTCGAGAGGGAATAAAGGATTCCATGCCAGCCTGAATCCATGAAATTATGTAAGAATAAATGATTCAGGTTGTCTGGAAAGCGAGTTGGAAAGTTGACTATTTGAGTTAAAGATTGAGAAAGGCAAAAGTTGTGGGCCTTAATGCCTGCGGAGTCACTGACACTAGATCCAAGCCATTCAGTGTGATGAACATTAAACTTACCGACAACAACAATATTGGCTGATGGATAAAGAATGAGGGCTTGGTCAATATAATCAGAAATAACATCAAAAAGAGTGCAGTCTTGAGATGAAGGAGAGTGATATAGAACAAAGAGAAAGGTGATAGAGTGAAGTGGTGCTAAACGAAAGCACATGAAAGCACACAAAGGGTAGTCTGTGGATTCAAACCTAGTTTCCCGACAAATGGGTGAATTTTTACAAATGTAAATGCCTAGGCCAAGCATGTGACTATTAGAGTCTTTACGAATTAAAGGAAGATAACCATCAACACTAAGATCACAAGATGAGACAGCTGAACTCAAATTAGTCTCACAAAGAGCAAGTAGGTCTGGTGAACTTTGCGAGAGATAAGACTCAACAGAAGAAAAGTTACTTCGAAGACCATGAATATTGGTGAATGATAGGTTTAGCGAACTTGGTGATGACTGTGGTTTTTTGTGTTTTATAGTTTTTGTTACTTTATTCATTTTTAAATTTGTTAAAGAACTTCACTCGAAACATAGATAGTACTCAGTGCACTGTTTTATAGCCCAAGCAATTGCCTCATTTCCACTAATAAACCCTAAGCCGTAACAAAGGGCTCCAATGTGGCCTCGCCAATGCACACCAAAAGAACAAACAGGGACACCATCCATGCGCAACATGGCACTGTTAGTACTCTGATATTTTTCAGCTGTTGATGGAATCAGCCTTTCTGAGAGCTACCACAGAGTTCGGGAAACCTGACTACCAGCCGGCCTCAGAACCATAAAACTGAGTTTTAGAGCTGTACCCTCATTTGGAGATAATAGAATGAGTTGCCTAGTCATAAAAACAGAGACACAAGCAAAATCCATGCAAGCTTGCTCACTCCTCTAAAATATTTTTTAGGAGCATATTGCGGCTCTTGTAAAGTAAAATTTTTTTGTAAAAAAAATAAATAATTCAAATAAAAAAAGGGTTGTTGCAAAAAAAAAGAAAAAAGAAAAAAGAGCAAAAACTGAAATGCAAATGTTTTTGATTAGATAGGACTAACTGATAAATATAAAATTACTGCACTCTAAATTATATTGATTACACAATTATATTGATAAAATAAAAAGTTATTTAACTAATAAAATATAAAAACACTACACTCTAAATTATTGCATAATAATTTTTCATTGTTGTAATAATTCTTAAAATTCCTGAATCTTATTACAATAAAAAAATATGAAACATTTTTGATAAGCAGTAGAAACTTTTATAGCTCTTTGTCAATGTTTCTATCAAATAATGTTGTTAATAAATCAATGGTTAGCTAGTGTGAAAACTCAAAGAAAACACTTGTCTAAAGAAGTAATTATTGTTATAAAAACCACTTATGAAGTTTGAATGACCATAACATAAAAAAGTTTGCATAAAAATTACGTTTGATATTCGCGCTATTTACAAATGTAGTAAGTTAAGAAAAGACAAAGAAAACTTTTTTTTTATTATTCTAACTTTTTCATCAAAAATGTTCTAAAACAAAAAAACAAAAAAAGTGTTACACGTCGCTTAAAAAAAGAAATCGTAAAAGAAACATAATAAAAAAACTTTAATTTATCATCTTGCAGTAGCCAAATATATTTATTTAGACAATTTCTTATAACAAACAAAAATAATTACCAAACTTTTTAAAAAAATTAAAAAACAAAGCAAAATAATCATTAACTAAAAAAAAGTACACGTTAAATTTTATTTTATATTTTTGCCACTTTTGGTATTTTAATTTTTTTTGTTTATGTTATAATAATTGATTGTATCAAAGAAATGAAAAAACATCATTATAAACTTTAAACGACATCTAATTGAGAGTTTATTTTTGTTATAATTAAAAAAAAAATACTTCTTTTATGGATATAACTCTATTATTAATTTTTTTTCTGAATTTACACTTGAAACAATATAACTCTTGTAATGTCTTTGTTTATATTTATAAGTTTTATTTTGCAAAAAATAATAGTTTATTGTTGTTATTGGTGGCTTTAAAGCTCATCACATTGAATGGCTTGACTCTAGTACCATTAACACTGCTGACACTAAAACTCAACTTTTTAGATAGTTCAGATCATACTAAGATAT